AGCAGTTTCCAGATGGAACACAACTTGGATGAATCCTGCAGGATTTTTCCAAGTTACACGTGTGCTGAGAGCTATCAAACACTAGCCTGGGTCTCCAGACAATTGACAGTTTTCACAAAACTGGCAGATATTAAATACTGAGAGATAAATGTTCAATTATAGTTTTCATACTTCGTATTTAATTTTTATTAATTAAATGGTAGATCTACATTACACATAAATACAGTATCTCTAGACTGCTAGTGGTGCATAGCAGTTTCATTTTATGAAATTTCTCATTTTATGATCTTAATTTGCAGATTTTTTTAAAATACCTTTTGTACTTCAAATATTTACTTATGTTATGAACTGGCCAGTGCTGGGTTAACAGCTGGACTCAATGCTCTTAAAGGTTTTTTTCCAGTCTAAACAGTTCTATAAACTTTGAGTTCTACAAAGGATGCTCAAGAAATACTGGGAAGCCAAGAGTAGGATGGAAGGTTTGTATGAGAAACAGGGCTAGAAATGTCAAGCTAGAATTAAAACTACCATTTGGCAATAGCCTCTAAAGGATCAAAGACTGCTATTAGAAATACATCCTGCTTTTAATTTTAATCTCTAAAGCCTTCCTTTGACTCTCACACAGACAAATGGGAGAGAAAAACCAGGAGCAGCAGCAACAGGGCTGCAAACACATGCATTTATTATTGTTTTCACTGTGACCAGACACAGAAACCTACAGGTTTGTAAATAGGACTGCAAACACACACATTTATTATTGTTTTCACTGACCAGACACAGAAACCTACAGGTTTGTAAATAGGACTGCAAACACACACATTTATTATTGTTTTCACTGACCAGACACAGAAACCTACAGGTTTGTAAACTGCAAAACAAAAACAGCTTAGCAAAACCCACCCTAATACTATGCCTGTATATATGTGTATTTATTTTGAAGTTCCAAGCCTGTCCTGAAACAAACAAAAGAGCACATCCACAATCACAGCCCTCACTGCTGCTGTTGGCCAGACCTGCCTCCATGTATTTTAATTGCACTTTGTTGATGTAGTTGGTCATTTGCTGTTGCTTGATGAGCTTGGGAGTAAAGGAGGATAATTATGCCTGTTTCAGGACTTCCAAGTAGTTATTGGAAATAAATTTCAACACAGCTCAGAGATTTGTTACAGCAACATTCCACTCCCCAGACTTCTCTGAGGGCTTGGCTTTCAGCTTAGAGCTGTAGTTCCATGGTATAGCCTGCCACTTTAAACTTTCACTGTGAGCATTTTAACACCCCACAATTAAAAGCACTAAGTAACTCAATCCAATAAATTTACTACAGGCACTCTGCGTACTTGTTTCCAATGGAAAACAGAATTGCAAATTGTACTTTCAATGCATCTGCTGACTGAAGGCAATGTAACAATTGCAAGTGCCCTTTTCTCCAGTACTCTTTACTTCAGAAGAGCAGAAACAATCTGCATTCTGGAAGGAAAACACTTGGAGGCAGGACTCCAGAGGAACTACCAGCTGCCAGCAAGATAAATATGCAGTCCTGGAAGTGAGTATTTGCTCCTGCCCAGCCACAGCTCAAGGTATGGATCTGGCAGGAGGCAGAGCCACCTCCCAAGAGCTGCTGCAATCCCCTCTCCGCCACCTCTGTGATCACCCCAAACCGGTTTGTAAGCACTTCTGCCACAATGGGCTCTGATTCACTGCACAAGTCACCCGTGTTCTCTGCTTAGGGGAGGGAAAAGGGAAAAAGAAAAAGGAACATTATTCTCATTATCCCAAAATAACTGCTGGAAGAAGATGAATGGTCCAGGACTATTATCCTCCAGTGCTGAGATCTCAGCAGAGGGTGTTACTGCCTTCATTTGGATCAGAATTTGTAAATATATTTAACTATGCTTCTCAGAGGAAGGAAAAAAAAAAGTGCTGGCATTTTGTAGAAAATCTTTTCAACAACAAACTATGAATATTTATAGAGGGAGCAAACTATTTTAAAATGTTTTCTTCTGTGCCAGAAGAGCTTTCCCACATTAGTCAAATACAACATATCAATGCCTAGAAATGCAGAAACACCCACTGGCCAGGTTGTATTTATTCTGGATGATTATGATTTCCTGAGACAAGAGAGAAAATCTTCATCAATGTTTCTGCAGAAATTCCATAAGCTGTGCAAGACTACTGCAGCACTGTGTCAAAACAGCTCAGTAGATTTTAAGATTCAAAATTAAGATAGATTGTTTGTGAAAGATTAGGGCAGACAATGCACATCCCCAGTCTTTTATGGTGCATAATACAGTGCAAAATGAAATGGAATTGTGTGCTATAGGCTTTTAGAAGACAAAAAACTAATACAGTTTATATTCAATGCATAACTATTATTTTGCTAGCACTATTTTTGAGTATTGAAAATTTAATTTGGGAAAAGCTAAGTGAATTCTTCTGCAATTACTGGTGGTTTATAACACCATTCAATGCACCACTTAAAATGATGTTCTAGACTACAGATGCAGAATTAACTTTCCAAACATCAGCAGTAGTTCTGCAGTGGTTCTCTCCAGGTATTTATCACACTACTCCACCAGGACTCTATGGCCAACTCTGTATTTTTCCAGACAGCAGTGAATTTTAAATTATCTGACAAACTATCTTCAGAATTTCAGAAAAACTGAAAAAACCCAACCCTTAAAACCCCTAAATGTCAGAGTGTTTTATTTAGTACTCCTGTCTCTGACAGCTAAAACCAACAGTCTTAGCACTGGAAATAGGTGATGGTCCCACATAAGGAACTAAGCAAAATAAAAACAGTGAGTCTCCTTCTGAAGAGATTTTTATTTTTTTGCCCAATGAATACTCCAGACAGGAAGGGCAAAAGCAAAGCCCAAAAGGGTTTAATCAATCAGAAACCTAAAAGTTAACCCCAAGGGTTAGTAACAGCACAATATCTGAGTATCTCAAGAAATCATTGACCCTGAATGCTGCTAAACTCCACTGCCTGTCTTTATCCTTGGCCTTAACTGGCTCTCCAATTTCCAGTACCCTGCTATCAAAGTTATTTTAATTTTTTTTTCTACATTTTTCACACCCTCCTTCATAACTGATGCTGTGGTTCTTATCAGGCAGACTCATTTCCTTCTGTGGCAATCATACCAGAAATGCATCACCCATGAGATGGTCATTTAAATCACAGGCCTGTCACTGTCCTTTACCCTGCAGCTTAAGCTGTTATCAGGGAATCACAATGGTTAGGGCTGATCCTCTGGGCATCACCCAGCCCAAGCCCTCTGCTAAGGGGGGCTGTAACAGGTGACAACGGAATGTGTCTGGGATGGCTCCAGAGAGGGAGACTCCATCCCTCCCTGGGCAGCTGTTCCAGGGCTCTGCCATTCAGCGTAAGGAAGGTTCCTCACGTTGAGATTAAATTCCTTGTGCTTCACTTCATGGCCATTGCTAAACTCCTTGTGCTTCTCTTCATGGCCAGCGCTCCTTGTTCTGCCGCTGGGCACCAAGTCTAGCACCAAGTCTGCCAAGTGTAGCGCCGTCCTCTCGGCACCCATTTGAGACGTTGACGTGCACTGATGGATCCCCTCTCAGTCTTGTCCGGAATAAACAGGCGCAGCTCCCAGCGCTGCTCCCGAGCCCTCCCCATCTCCGTGTCCCTGCCGTAGCCCCCAGGTGTGCCCTCAGTGGGGCCGAGCAGAGGGCAGGATGGCCCCTGGCCTGCCGGGCACGCTGCGGAGCGCCCCGACACCACCGCGCCCCTGGCTCAGGACACGCTGAGCAACTTCGCAGTGTGTCCTTCATTTACCTTCATTTCTTTGATCTCTATTTCCAAGCACTTTGGTAGAAAAAAAAAAAACCCCAACCCTATGGTCACATACAAGTATTTTTACTTTTTTCCACTTCAACGTCTCAGCCTCACCTTGAAGCCCCCTCAGCATCACCTGCAGACGTTTGGTGTGCTACCAGCAAGAGCAGCGCAGCAAAGCTATTTACTATTGAGATAATTAAACGGTTCCAGACCACTGACGACACGGCAAGAGTGGAGCTGAGTGTTACTTTGTTTACCGTTCATTCATTCATTCATTCATTCATTCACAGCGCTCAAAGCGCCATGGGTACAAACCCACAAACCTGACAAACCCTAACAAACCTAGGTTAGGTAAAGGAAGAAATTTTCTCCTGTAAGGCTAGCCAGGCACTGAACAGGTTGCCCAGAGCAGCTGTGGCTGTCCCTGGAAGCGCTCCGGGCCAGGCTGGACGGGCTCTGAGCAGCCGGGGCAGCGCAAGGTGTCCCTGCCATGGCAGGGCTGCGCTGGGATGAGCTTTAGGGTCCCTTCCAACCCTTGCACGGCACACCGAGCACTCCCAGCCCCGGAGGAAGGCGGCCGCGCGGGTGGCAGAGCTGTCCCAAGGCCGAGCTGCCCTGCCCGGCCGCTCCATCCCGTCTGCTCCCCGCCAGCCGCGCCCCGGGGCCGCCGCCGCGCCTTCCACCGCGGGCATGCGGCCGGGAGAGCTCCCCGGCCCCGGGCGCTCCAGCCGGACGCTGCCCGGCCGCTCCCCGGGGAGGGAGGCCCCGCCGCGGACAAAGGCTGCGGGCCCGGCCAGCCCGGCCGCCCTGGGACCCCCCGACGCCCCCAGCCCCGCAGCTGAGCGGCCCCTCCGCGCTTCCCCGGCGGGAGCGGCGGCAGCGCTTACTCTGCGTGTCGGACAGGGAGATCATGGTGGCGGTGGCTCCGGGAGCGGCTCCGGCAGCGGGACGGGGAGCGGCGGCGGCGGCACCGGCGGCGGCGGCCACGTCTTCCGGAAACACGCACCCCGCCGCACGAGAGCCGCCCGCCCATTGGTCGCACCGGCCGCCAATCAGCAGCCGGCTTGTACGGCCGCTCCGGCGCGCCGCCCCGCCCACGGCCCGCGGCCGGCGCTGATTGGCGGGAGGGGCGGCGCTCGCGCCGGGCCCCGCGCGCCAGTGGCTGAGGGCGGGCGGCGGAAGGGGCGGGGCCCGGCGCGCGGCGCAGGTGGGAGCTGCGGGGCGGGAGCCGTGAGGGGAGGGGGAGCTGCGATAAAAAGGGATAAAAGGTGCGGGATAAAGGGTAAAGGATGCGGCAGCGCGGCCGGCACTAGCTCTCGGGACAGCTGTGGGAGCTGGCGGCTGAGCCCGCCGCACGGGAGGACACGGCTGCGAGACGCTGCTCCCGCTTGCCCTGGCGGCCCTGCTCCCTTCATCCGTCCTGCACCCGCCGAGCGGGCCGTTCCCTGCCCGTCCGTCCGTCCGTCCGTCTGTCTGTCGTGCCCCGTCCCGCAGCCTCACCGAGCGGGTGCTTCAGGCCTGGCAAGCGCCGTGCCCGCGGCTGGCGTGTGGGTGAGAACGCCGGGAATGTTGCACTGTGTGTGTGCACTGTACTTGGATACTGCTCGCACTGTATGCCTGTAAATATTGCCACATTGGAGTAGGTGGCCCCGGCAGGTGGTGGAGTCGCCACCCCCGGAGGTGATTAAGAGGTGTCTGGGTCTGGCCCTGGGTGATGTGGAAGTGTTTTATTCACACATCGTTTTTAATATGTATTTCCCCGTCCATTTATAGGAGCGGGGAAGATCCTTGTTATGGTGGAATCAGCTGGTAGTGAGATATTTTTTCCCCCAGTATTTATTGTAATGCGGAATTTATTCCTTTTCATTTTCCATTGGACTTTGTTTCCATCCATGTAATAAATAGTTCAGAGTGCAATAACAGAAAACATCAATTTCTTATGTTTGGTATTGCTAAGGTACAATGTGACAAAAACCATTGTTCAAATAATGAGCCAAAAAATTCAGTTCTATTGAAGATTATTCAAAATCAATCCCCTTCTCTAAACCACGCCATGTTTTCATTTCCTCCTAACAGATGCTCTATTATGGTGGCTGCCTTTCTAAGGGGCACAATGTAATGTGTCCAGACTTTTCTGTAAAATAATCTTTGAAGAGATCAAACCTGGCAATGGGCACTTGGTGAGTGACTGGTCTGCCTTAGGCCATTCCTCTTGCAGGAAATGAATGACTTGGTTAACATTCACCTGGATTCATCTAGAAGCCTGGTGAGCTGTGGCCTTGGGAATTGAGTTTGTGTTTATCCATCTTGCAGAAGGGAAAAAGCATTTGTCATCTAGTGGGGCTTCTTTGTGTGAGCAAATTAAATTAGCCAGGACTTAAACTGTTACATTGACAGCTCTGGTAATGAAGAATCTCCTGCAGGAAATTTGTTCTAAGTTGAGAAGGTTTACTTATAAAATATATTTTAAAATGTATTTATTTCATTTTCTTTTTAGTGACAGTTGCTTGGTTAAATAAGATCTCCTAAAGATAACGTTCTTTAATCTCCAGAGATGACAGCTGTTGCAGGTAATCCATGATTAATATTCCATATATTCATTTAGCTGTCTCTTACCTAACAAAACACAATCACCTGATGTTATTTACATGGTTTAATGTATACATAAAAGAGTTTGTGGGATCTGTGCTATTATACTTAAGATTTGAAGGAAAAAAGTCTTTTACTGGATAGCTTTTTATTTCTTAGGTGAAACTAAACCAAAATTCCCTGTCCCTGGAAGTGTTCAAGGTGTGGTTGGATGGGGCTCTGAGCACCCTGCTCCAGTGGCAGGGGAGTTGGAATGAGATGAGCTTTAAGGTCCCTTCCAACCCGAGCTACTGTATGATGAAAATCAAGTTTGTCAAGGAAATTACTTGGTTGTCAATATTTAAAAAATGTGCTTCATATTTTAAGACACTCTAACTGTTTTCTGCTGAGTAGCAGTGGGCATTTAGCAAGACACCTATCACCATTTTGTGCTATTTGAGATGAAGATATTTTGTCCATATCACACGTTTTTGTTTCCATATACCATTACATATTACCATATCTGCTCTGGAGGAGCCTAAATCTCTTGGGTTTTCTGGCTGAGGCAGTAATTCCTCCTGATGCTTTTGTGACCTGCCTCTGGGATACACGCTTGGCATGCAGCTGTGTGTGTTAATTATTCTTTTAAACTCCAGGGATTGGATTCTAGAACACAATCTGCAATTCACACACGTGTGTGTTGGGATGGAAAGAGACAACTCCTGCCAAAGAGTCACTTGTGTAACCCAAGCTTTTGGGGAGCACTTCATTTCTTCCACATGTGAAGGCTGGCTTGTGTTTGTAAACGCATTTTCCCTCTACATCCAAACCCTGTTGTTCAGCACATCCCTTGTTCTGTGGAGGAGGGATCCTGGTGCATGAAACACAGCTTGTTGTTAATGGCCCTGTTTTCAGCCCCAGAGGAGTTTAACTTGCTGGGGTTAATGTTGCTTCTCACTTGCAAATAAATGCTTTCTATGAGCAACTTGATCATTGGCTGGAGTACAATTAATACAATTAAAAGTGGCATCAGCACATGGCTGTGGTCTCAGTTGTGCCTTCTCTTTGCTTCTCCCTGCAGTGCTAGAGGAGGTGCTGGTGTCCATTGAGAATGAGCTGCAAGCAGTGGAGATGCAGATCCAGGAGCTTGTGGATAAGCAGCAGGAACTCCTTCAAAAGAAGATGAGGGTGAAGAATCTGATAAAACAGTCCTCAGGAGACTTGGAGGCAGGTGGAAGTAAAGACACTGAAACCTCAGCTGAGGAATGGAACAAAAAAGGTTTGCAGAGTCAAAGTCTAATATTTTAACAGGAAGGTGAATTAATCCAGTAGGGGGAAATGCACTTAGAGTTTTGTTTGCATAATGATATTGTCCTATTTCATTTTAGTCAGCTGGCTGACGTGCCAGGGTAATGGGGTAATGTTTGTACTTGTCTCACTGGACATTCCTAAACACTAATCTTGAGCTGTTCTGGGCAGAATTATCTGTTCTGTCAGAATGGCCTGTTATAACTCCTTGGATTCTTTGCTTGCTGCAAAGTCACAATTTGATCTGATTTGCACTTTCAATCCCAGAGTAAATTTTGATTGCAATACTTGTATATTAAATGCTTATATTGTAATACTTCTCCTTGTTTGTGTTCTAAAACAAATTGCTCTGGATTTTCTCAGGATTTGATAATGACAGTTTTGCACTTAGAGTTGGTTTTTGTGTTTCCTCTTGCTTGAGTGGGTAGGACATTGGTAGTGTTCGTGATGGGTCATGTAGCCTCACTGTCTCACCAAATTAATGCAAATCAGATAGATGCTGAGTGCCAAAAATAACCTAGAATACATGATTATTGTAGAATTAGTGCAAGTGGCAAGTGCCTCGTGGTGGTGGGAGGGCTGCTGTCTTTCAAGTTAGGCATTAAATGAAGTCCTGAATCGTTGTTGCTTCTTGGCCATGTTATGCCTTGCCAAATTTGACTCAGATATTATGAATTTTTTTCTCCTTTTAAATTAAACTTTCAATTTGTAAATGCCTATATTGTATATATAAGCTTTTTTTTGTTTTAAGAAATGAAATTAATGTTGTAGTTGAATCCATATTTATCAGTATTTGAGGAGTATTATGCATATGTAAGAATGCTGATACTTTATCAATGCAGATTATGCTATTGAACAAATAATTTGGTTTGTGTAGGTTTATGCTTAATTCTCACCTCCTGTGCTTTGAAAATGAATGTCTTTGCAGTCAGATGCTGTGTGTGTATTAAACAGGAGCAGCAGCTAAATTTGTTGCCAGTTCAAAGCTCATGGAAGTCAGTGAGAGGCTTTTCTTGGTTTCACAGAGCCTTGGATTTTAACTGTGCTCTTTGTAAATTTCTCTGCAATGTCACCTCAAGTCCCAAAATTAATTCTTGTGCATTGCACGTGGTGTAACCTGGAGCTCCCACAGCTTTTCTGCATTTTAATTTTAATAGTACCAAAAAGATGCATCAGGAAGCATAATTTAAGTTTTTACAGCATTACATCTTTTAAAAATGCAGTCTTTAGGTCTTTATTGAAGAAAAGAAAAGCCTATTATAAGCGTGTTGGGGTGGTGATTTTGGGGAAGATTAAACAACTTTTCCCCCTCTTTATTTTTTAATAAATGCTTATTATTGATGGAATATATGGAAAAATTGTATCCCTCCTTCTTTATCCTATTTGTAATTTCTGTATTTGTATGAGGGAAGCATTTGAGTAACTATTGTAGGGCTCAGTGTCTGGTTTTATTTATTTTCAGGGTGGGATTCTAATTTCTAGTTATTTTGGACTAATGAGTTAACATGCTCATTAGCACTCTGAAGTTCATCTGTTTTCAGTTTTTCACATTAGTTCACATCCATGTGCAATGAGAGTTTTGGTCTGGAGGTGAATTGTGTTTACAATTTGAGTTTTCAAAGGTCCACCCTAGAATATGGTGTATCCAGACTCAGGTTGTGTGGAGCTTTTTCTGTGCCATTATGAATCCTGAAACACTTTCCCAGATCTAAAATTGTGTCACTGCTAGATTCAGTTATTCAATATGTAAATTACCCCTCCTTCTTATATTTTAATTTGCTTATGAAATGTGTTTGTTGACTTGGTTTTTTCCCTTAACAGATTTTCCATGGTATGAGAAGATAAAAACTGCACTGCAGAGCAAATTTAAACTCCAGAAGTTTAGATCACTGCAACTTGAAACAGTAAATGCTGCAATGGCAGGGAAGGATATATTTCTTGTCATGCCTACAGGTGGTGGGAAGAGCCTTTGTTACCAGTTACCAGCTGTCTGTTCTGATGGTATGTAAGGGGAAAAAAAGGACATCATAAAAAGAATTTGATTTATTTTCTCCCTTTTATAATTATTTGGAGAATGAACATTGCTTGGTGTGGTTTTTATTTGGTTGATTTGGTTTTGTTTGGTTGGTGTATTTTTAATAACTCATCCAATTGCGTTGGAAGTTTACTTATTTACAGAGGCCAAATTTACCACTCCCTGTCACTGCTTAGTTCTGTGGCAAATCAGCACCTCATGACACAGATATCCAGCTTGTTTTGTATATTTTCATCCTCTGTTGGAGCTCAGTTGTGTTTGTGGTCTAGACCCTAAGAGGAGGTGTTTGTTGTGGATATTTAATAAGAATTATCCTTGTGTGATCTGGCACTCACTTGTCAGCTGTCTGGGAGGGGAATCCCCTGCTGTGTATGAAGCCTAAGCTTACATTTGGCAGTTTCTTCAGAGCAGGGCTGATGCATCAGTATAAAGAATTAGAGGAGATATTTGTGACATCTGAACTGCACAATGATTGATTGTTACAGGTTTCACACTGGTGATATGTCCTTTGATATCTCTCATGGAAGATCAGCTCATGGTTTTGGAACAGCTTGGTATCTCTGCAGCTTTATTAAATGCCTCAAGCAGCAAGGTGTGTTTAAGTTCTTGTGTTTTGTGGTGAATGTGCTGGTGTCTCCCCTCTGTGTAGTTACTTGTGAATGTTGAATGGATGAGACAGATTTATCAGCTAATGCTGTTCTAGCAACAGTATCTGGCCAGGAGGGTGCTGTGATAGGAGGAAGGGGGTTAAATATCTTGTGTTCATGTTTTAGTGACAACAACACACGGGAACCAACACCATCTGTGGAATAAATAGATCTCTTGGGACTATTTAGAGGGTGTGAAGTGCCTTTGGCTCATGAGTGTTGTAGATTTTTACTCAGTTTCTAGACTTGAAGTGATTTTTGTCTTCTTTTACCATGCTGAGCAGTGCAGGCTTTTACATATAATTATTATTTATCTCTTACTATAGGGTGGTGAGCTGTTTGATCCAGAGGCCAAGAACCAACTCATTTCCCAGTCTCATACTACAGTTGCTTTTTTACAGTTACTTTCCTGACTAGCAGGAGGCTATGATCATTAACTTGCACATGACACTGGATTTGATTGATTGGCTTGATGCAATGTGCCAGACTTGAAGCCTGCTTTGATGCAGAGCACTCTGCAAACTCAGTAATAAAACCACTGTAGTGTGCAAGGAATTATTTTACACTTGCAGTATCACAGGGATGTTTGGTAATCACAGTTTATTGGGGAAATATTGATACCATATGATGAAGCAAAGACACATATTCAACATGTGCTTCTTCAAAGTTCCAGCACGGATTTTCTAGGTATTAAAAGGACCATTTTTTATATATATATATATATATATATATATAAATATATATAGTGATCTTGTGCAATGGCTTATAGTGGTCAATACCGTGGAACACTTTATCAGTCTCTGTTAATTACACCTTATGAATTGCTAATCACCTCTTAAGAGCCTTAGCACTAAGCAGCCTCAGTGTGTTGTCCCAGTTTGTTACCCCTGCTGTCTGGTTTTGTTTTGAACAGGAACACGTGAAGTGGGTCCACACGGAAATGCTGAAGAGGAATTCCCAGCTGAAGCTCATTTATGTGACCCCAGAGAAGATTGCAAAGAGCAAAATGTTCATGTCCAAGCTGGAGAAGGCTTACCAGGCCGGGTGCCTGGCTCGCATCGCTGTGGATGAGGTGCACTGCTGCAGTCAGTGGGGCCACGACTTCAGGCCTGGTATGCTCCTCAGAAATCCCCTTGCAGGGCTGCTCAGGCAGCTGTGAGTCATGGGTTAGGCCTGAATAAGGCCAGCTGCTTCCTTCATGTGTTAAGTGAATTTTAATGCTTGACACATACCTGTGTTAACTCAAGAACTTTAATTCACAAATCATCCAGCAGCTAAGTTAATGCAAATGATGATTTCAACATAGATTTTGCTGTCAGTATTCTGAAAAATTACTTATTCTGCTTACTGTAATTGGAGCTGTATAAAATCAAAACTTTCATTTGGCATCTTTAATATGGATAATAGTTACCCTTAATCTGCTACATGGAAGTGTCATTCTGTACACCACTCCCTGGCACTTCTGATGAAGGAGGTAGAGCATTTTTTAAATTCATGAGATATATTTTAAGCATCTGTAAAGCAAGTGGAAACAAATGCCCTTCACTTATAGGGAAAGAAAGTCCTGTCTTGGAGATTGTAGAATATTGTTGGTTGCTGTTTGTCTTTGAAAGAAAACCTGATTTGAAGCAATATTAACTGTAAAATCACTCTTAGCAGTTTTGCTAGGAAGTGGTGCCTGAGCCAAGAGCCAGGCTGGTTCAGCAGGTAGTGTGGAATTTGGATGTGTACCTCTGGCTGCTCTTCAGTTTGTAGGCAGTTTGATTGTCAGTACTAAGCCTTTAAAATTTTTTATTATTACACTCTGGTCTGTGTATCCAAATTCTACATTGCTTATTTATTAGAAAAGCTCTGTTTACTCAAAAGCTGTTTGTAAAAACAGACCTACAAAATAACCTGGATGTTGGTTAATGCAATGCTACACATATTTTTCTAATTTTTTAAGAATTTCTATTTCCATACATTTTTGCCTTCTGAATTGTGGCTGATAATTGCAGCCTTTCAGTACCTGGAGGAAGCCTGAAAGAAAAGTGGGGAGGGAGTTTTTACAAGAGCTTGGAGTGACAGACCCAGGGGAATGGCTTCAAACTGAGGGTAGGTTTAGATTGGGTTTTGGGAAGAGCTGTGAGGGTGGTGAGGCACTGGCACAGGCTGCCCAGAGAAGTTATGGATGCCTCATCCCTGGGATGTGTTCAAGGCCAGGTTGGATGGGGCTCTGAGCAACCTGGGAAAGTGGAAGGTGTCCCTGCTCATGGCAGGGGGTTGCAACAAGATGGCCTTTGAGGTGTCTTCCAACCCAAATGATTCTGTGATTGATTCTTTAAAACTCACTTGGAATACATCTCTTTTGCTAAGTGCAGCCTGCTTGTTACTTGTTTTGGATGTATTAATTAGTTCTGTAGTAGATAAGCAGTGATAACATTTATTGCAGTATTACCCCATTAAATATGATCTACATGAATGCCTTTTTTAAGTTTGCATTTGTGGTATGAGAAATCTTGTTCTTTCCCCTTTTCTTGCTTAGACTACAAGTCTCTTGGTATCCTGAAAAGACAGTTTCCCAATGCTCCCTTGATTGGATTGACAGCAACAGCTACCAATCACGTTTTAAAGGATGCTCAGAACATTTTGCATGTTCAGAAGTGCATTACCTTTACTGCTTCCTTCAACAGGCCCAACCTTTACTATGAGGTAGGTCTTGTTACCTGGTTTGTGCTGTTGTGCTGTCTCCTGCAGGGAGAGGGGCAGGCAGCAGGCTCAGACTGCCTCAACCTGTTGGAAAATATGTCTTATGAATTATTCTATTGTGCTGTATTTTCACTTTGGCCACAGGTTTGTTTATTGTTCTTGGTGGGGAAAGCTTGCCAGTTTGTTTTGGGGTTTATTTTTCAATGGACTTTTGAGTTGTAATCTGACTGTTCATAAAAAGAATATAGTATTTCTTTTTAAATGGTGAAATAGTTGTGATTATTATACTGAGAAAAGTAAAATAAGGATGTTTGGCAGACTGTTTGCCCACTTGAACTCTGACATGTGCTTAATATATTTTTGAGGTTCGGCATAAGCCTTCAAATAACGAAGATTTCATTGAGGACATAGTTAAGACAATTAATGGAAGATACAAAGGACTGTCAGGTAAAACGTGTCACAAAAGACACATGTTGTCTTCCATAACCTTCATTACTGCAAGGATATTGGGATGTTTTCAAATCATCTTGAAGCATGTTGAGAAATTCTGCCTTCATTATACATTAAACATCCAGCATTAGAATAAATGGAATTTAGTAAGATCCATACCTTGAATAATTTCTCTCTTCATCCATTACTGTTTAAATGTCTTTACAGTTTACTTTTATCTTCTGAAGTATTGAGCTGGAATGTTGATGTCTATAGAACAATGTTTACATAGGTAATAATAGGAAGGTGTAAGATGGTAAAAGCAGGGCTCTATGTTCTTAAATCACACATTGTTTACTATCCATGTGTCAGGATACGTGCTATCTTTAACATGGTTTTCATATTTGATCAGAAGAGTCATCTGTTACTCAGTGCCCAGAATGGGTGTTATGGGGTGAATTGCAGATAAAAGCAGAACTGTAGAAGTTGGACTTGTGTAATCAATAAATTCTGCAGTGGAGGTAAAGAGGAGAGACATCTTGCCAAGGCCGCAGAACCCAGGTTCCAGAGCAGCAGCCTGTCCCTGTCTCTGCTTGGAGCTCTGTGGCTGTGAGGAGCAGCTCCCTGAGCACAAACTGTGCTAAGATGATCAACAATCACATGGCTTTGTGTGTAATCCCTGGCTTAGCCCAGCCTGACTAATGACAAAAGGCAGATTTAACTGAAACCTCAGCTGAGATGCCATAGATGTCATAAGGCATAGCACCCCTTTAAAAAGCTTTACTAAGCACTGTCCTCCTTGAACACTAACAGAATGCTTCCATGGTTCTATGGATTGGCACCTGTATTTCCTCTTTAGCCTTCAGGTCCAACCTGATAACTGAGTTTTCCTTCATAAATACCAATACTGTGGACTAAAGAGGCACAAAGACTGTATAATGCTTTTTAGTTATTTATTTCATAAGCTAATAAAACTTTGACAATTGTTTTTAAGTATTGGGGATTGTTTGGCCTTTTTAAGGCATTACAATGAGGATTCTTTCACTTTTGTGCAGGAATTGTTTACTGCTTTTCTCAGAAGGATTCTGAGCAAGTTACTGTGAGTTTGCAGAAACTGGGAATCAAGGCAGGGACTTACCATGCAAACATGGATGCTAAATATAAAACCAAAGTTCATAAAGGATGGGCAACAAATCAAATCCAGGTTAAGTAAATACTTTACATGGACTTAATGTCTTATGTAAACAAATTGTGGTTTGGTATCTTGATGATTCCTTAATCTTTTTCTTTTTCACAGGTTGTAGTGGCAACTGTTGCTTTTGGCATGGGAATTGATAAACCTGATGTGAGGTTTGTAATTCATCACTCTATGAGCAAGTCCATGGAAAACTACTACCAAGAGAGTGGACGTGCAGGTATTGCAGGGAGTGGCTTTTGCTAAATTGCCATTTACATCCATTACACCAGAAACCTGTCCTTCAATTTCCCTGGCATTTGTGCAGTCTCTTGCCTTTGAGACAGTTTTCAAAGGGTGTAATGAAACTTGCCTCTGTAAAGAGGCTTTAAATATAAACTGCATTCATGACCAGGCCTCTGCTGCAGTGTAACAAATAACTGGGTATCTACACCTCCACTCAGCATTTTTTTAGATACTTGATTTTCTATGAAATCTGTGGCTTACCAGAATAACATGATGCAGATTTGATATACAATTTTAATTTTTTAATATTGTATAGCACCTGGGATGTGTGATTTGCTCAGATTGCCTCTATATGATGTTTAATCACTATGAATTTCAGAAATACAAGTGGGATGGGGAGTCTGGAGCAGGGAATTTTAGGGATTGATCAATGTTAAGCAGCACTAAATACCTGTTAGGGCCAAACTCTACCCCCAAAAACGTTTTGCAGTGTTTGGGGTTTTTTTGGTTTTGTTCATCTCATTACTTTCTCAAAGGCAGATTTGAGTGTATGTGGAGAAAAGCTTGTCAAGGAATTTGAGGGGCAATGGGTTGAGACTGTAATTATCTGTTCATTTTAATGCATTGCAGGTAGAGATGACCAAAAAGCTGACTGCATTTTGTATTATGGATTTGGAGATATATTCAGAATCAGCTCAATGGTGGTGATGGAAAATGTTGGCCAAGAGAAGCTGTATGATATGGTATCTTACTGCCAAAATATGAGCAAGTAAGTTAACTGTGGTGGCTTGGTTGCTTAGTTTTTAAATGGGCTAATTTTTGGGGGGGTTTGTAGGGGGTGTTAGGAAAAAAAAACCAAAACAAACAAAACCAAAATGAACCCATCACCAAACAAAACCACCCACAAAAACAGCAGCAAGCTTGCCAGCTTCAGGATACACCTTTGGAAGTGGTTGTGTTGAGATGAAGTATCTGTCAACAAACAGTTTGGATTTCAAGTCCCAGTCAGAGGAAATACTGGAGTTCTGTGGTTTTGGCTCCAAGCTACAGTCTTTAATGGCCACATAGGAATCCAGGTGTATTTGCTGCTTCACTGTGATATTTGGAATACTTCATGGAAAATGTGTATCTGTGTTGTGGACAACTGGTGCAATCCAGTAAAGCCTTTTGTGACCTCAGTGTAACAAGGAATTCATATTCTAAGCATTTTTCATTCTCTTGAAACTGCAGATTATACTCTTCTGCTTCAACCAAACTGTTCTACACCAGTATTGGCATAGCTGATAGGGAATGCTGGTGTTGCTGTATTTGTTCTCTGGTTTTTTTCCTCTGATAATTCTTTGTGCTTGCTTTGACATCTGAGCTGTCCCTAGGACCTTTTTTGCCATTTTCATGTTGTATATGGCAGGTGTGACATACTCACCTGGGATCTAAAGCCCCCCTCTGCTCTCTGCTCTTCAGGTGTCGCCGGGTGCTCATAGCCCACCACTTTGATGAAGTGTGGGATTCTGCAAACTGCAACAGAATGTGTGATAACTGCTGTAGAGAGAATGGTAGGTAAGGGACAGGGAACATGGGAAAAGTTGATTTAAAGAAATACCTGGTGTAGAAAAACTGTGAGCAAATTTTGGGACCTGTGCTTGTATTACTGACTGTTTTCAAGGTGCAGATTTTGTTATGAATATCAATTTTTGGTGGCCTACTGTTGCCAAGTTAGTTTCAAAGCAAAACAAAAGAAGCCTTGCTATTGTATAGCACAAAGATATGTATTTATAGCTACATAAAACTACATATATAACTACAAAGAGCTTTCTATTTAAATGTTCCTTCACTTGCAGCATGTGAGAAGATGGATGTTACAGGATACTGCAGGGATCTGATAAAGATCCTTGAGCAAGCTGACAGCATGAGTGAGAAACTCACCCCACTGAAATTAATCGATGCCTGGTCTGGGAAAGGTGTGTCCAAGTTCAGGGTGCCTGAAGTTACTCCACCCAAGCACCCTCGAGAGGAGCTGGAGAGAATTGTTGCCCATTTACTGCTGCAGCAGTATCTGAAGTATGTAACTATTTTGTTTTCTTTGTTTTGGTTTTTTAACACTTAGTAGTCGTTTTTCCTTGCTCTCTTGTTACTTCTGTGTAACATTAATGGATACATTCTGTAGTCTTGTTTTCATTTTAGATGCATTAAATGTATTCTTAAAAACCCTTCAAGTATTGTTATATTTACATTTCAAAAGTGGGAGAAACAGTTGAGATGCTGCATCTTGTGCAATTTTAAAAAGCTGGGGTCTTCTGTATTCAGGTAGAATGTTTAAATCTGCAGCAGGATTCATTTTGGAGAAGTCTGCAGTTATTCAGATCTCATTCACATTCCATTGATAAGGAGAGCAAATGGGGTTGCCCACACAATGTCTAAGTCAGGAAAGACTGGCTCATGTGGAAAGTGGTACTCAGGAATTTTAAGAAAGCATAGTGAAACTAACAACAGTGCTGCCTCTGTAACCTGTCTGTGTGCTATGTGTTTTGTCTTCTCATATAATTTTTAAGTTCAAGAATATCTATAAATATCTAATCCCTTTAACTTAATTTTTCTTTGCATCTCTCTGTATAGCTTTTTATTAAGAGGGTGAGCAGATCTTTTTTGATCTATATCATTTTTGATATAGCAAATGGGGTTGCCCACACAATGTCTAAGTCAGGAAAGACTGGCTCATGTGGAAAGTGGTACTCAGGAATTTTAAGAAAGCATAGTGAAACTAACAACAGTGCTGCCTCTGTAACCTGTCTGTGTGCTATGTGTTTTGTCTTCTCATATAATTTTTAAGTTCAAGAATATCTATAAATATCTAATCCCTTTAACTTAATTTTTCTTTGCATCTCTCTGTATAGCTTTTTATTAAGAGGGTGAGCAGATGACTTTTACATCTTTTTTGATATATATCATTTTCTTCCATGTGTTTCAAGAGATTGACAAGTGTGCATCTGAGTGTTTTTGTGTGTGTCAAGGTCCACAAACTGAATTATGTTAAGTGTTGATCGGAGTAGCTCTAAGTCACCTGACTGTCTACTTGAATAAATAAAGCAGAATGAAGCTGCTCTCTGGAACATCCATCAGAAGGGTTCATGTGTCCCTGTCCTTATGGAAAGAGTTGTTGGGATGGAGGCAGGGAAGTGGTGGAGTCACCATTCCTGGGACTGTTCACACAACATGCAGATGTGGCACCTGAGGACATGGTTTAGTGGCAGTGCTGGGTTAATGGTTGGACTTGATAATCTTGGAGGTCTTTAACTTTGATGCTATGATTTTTTCCCCCCTGCATATTCTGGCCTGTCTCCAGCCTTCCCTTGTAACAGTGATTTCATTCATGCAGGGAGGATTTCAGCTTCACAGCCTTTGCTACAATATCCTACCTGAAGGTGGGACCCAAAGCCCGGCTGCTGAAAAACGAGGGACATGTCATCACCATAGAAGGGATAACAAACAGCAAAAGTGTTTTCAAGGTATTTACATCTGTTCTGATTTGCCATATAGGTATCTTCTCCATTAAAGCTTAATTTAATGATTTGGTATCTGCTCAAAGATACCAAATGTTCGTAATATGCTCATGTTTTTTAATAATGCAGTCAACCTCATAAATATCTTCTCTCTTGTGTGGGAACATGGGAAAAGGAGGAAAACAATGTTAGAATTTTAATTGAACTCTTCTTAAATCTTACAGGTCAAACCATCTCAATCTTCAAATTCAAAAGGAAGCAGAGAAAATGCCCAGACTGGAACAAAGACTGTCCAAGATTCAGTGGTGAAGAAATCACAGGAACATAAACGGCCCAGCTGTGGTCCTAACTTAAAAGCAAAGAAGCCTAAGCTTCAGGCAGGTGCAGATGACCAACCAGTACTAATTGACTGAGTGTCAAAGACTAAATTTAGGATCTAATCATGGTTGCTGCTCCATGGACAATGCAGTGTGTAAGTTCAGTTTGTGCTTTAGTAATGGTGTTTTTATTTAATAAACACTGAACAGGGAACAAATACCTTAAAAAACTGTCAAATCGACAGTGTGTAAGTTCAGTTTGTGCTTTAGTAATGGTGTTTTTATTTAATAAACACTGAACAGGGAACAAATACCTTAAACTGTCAAATCACGAAGGCTAATAGAGGAGGAAAAAGTGTTTCATATCAAAATAATTGGTGCCAATCTTGAGTTACAGCAATGATTACAAAAGCTATATAATGACCATGTTGCCTTTTTACCTCTTTTGGAAGTGTAGAATACAGTAACACTGTGGTGGGTTCTTGCAGTCTGGAAAGGACTGCCAAAGGTGCAGAGGTTTCCAGACTTCCTTCCTGTGGGAGTCTCCACCCACTGCTCCACTGAGAGTCCTAGAGATTTCTCTCCTTTGCAGCACAGGACTTGGTGGTCCTTAGCTCTGCACAAAGACCCTGTGACCCTCTGTTCCTTCTGCCTGCTGTGCAGGTGGTTTTCCTCTTCACCTGCAGCCAGGGCACTGCCCCCCCAGGGCAGCTGCTGTCACCAGCCCCAGGCAGTGACAGCAGACATCTGGAGGCTGGGATGCTCCAAGATCCTTCCCCTGGAGCCCTGGCTGGCTCAGAGCTGCTGCTGTGCCAGGGCTGGTTGTTTCAGCCCACGTGGGCACTGTCCCTACCCCCACTGTGGCATGTTGGAGTGAAATATTGTATGTATTTCTGAGTGAAATATTATGTGTATTTATTCCTTTGAAATATGTCTGTTGCTCTTAAAATTGGACTTCTCTAGGTTGTTATTCAAATAGAAATTTATGACTTCTGTGCTTGGCAGAAGTACCTCAATTTAAGTTTACAAACAAGACAACCTGCCAGCCTAGGAAACACTCAACAGCTACTGCTGCCTGCAAGCATTCTCAGGCACATGTGCTGACTGCTAGATTCAGTTTTGTTTTCTTACTTTTAACATCTTAGCAGCCAAAGATCAGAAAGGCATGTTCAGTTTCATTAATAAATGCAAGTTCTGGGTGGTTGCATTATGGTTCTTCTCCCTTACACGTACATGTATAACAAATATAAAACTCATACCATTAAGAACATGCTCTTCATCTTTATTTTTCTGGTAAAACTGTGACAGTGACTAAAGCCTATAGTCTTTAACCCATCCTTTAGCTGAGACCTTTGCCAAAAATTGAAAATTTAGTTAAAAACAGTCATTCTCCTAAAAACCATTAGGTGATTTGTCTGGGACAAGTCTCAGTATGTACTGCCAGCTTTGTATTGAGTACAATAAATGGTTCCCAATTTGACCCAAAATAAATAGCAACTCTCAGGCAGCAACTGTAGAAGAAAATCAAAGCCAGGATGAAACAATTGCTGTCCAGGGCTGGCACTATCCAGTACAGCACAGCTCTACCCCAACACCTGGACAGCTGAAGGGACAAGCAGTTCAAAAGCTGCTCTCAACTGCCATCTCATCCTGGCTTTCATTGTGCAAACCTTGTGTTCTGTACTTAACTGAGTAGAAAATGCATTTATTTCAGAATTAAACTTATGGGGAGGAAAAAATGGAAAAAAAAATGGAGTAAGGCCATGTATTTGCAACCTACATTCCAGGCAGCAAGAGCTCTGAGCACCCTGTGCCCTAAAACTGTTCATCTGAGCCAGCTCAACAGAGATTGCACCATTAGCTGGTACCTGTGGCAGTAACCAGTCAGTATTTTGGCAAGATCAACCCAATGCCTTAATAGAGGATTGCATTTATCCCCCATCCTGAGAAAACAGTTTTCTAAGATGTATAACTTGCTATCAAAGCTTCATACAAAATGGGACCGGGGTGTTGTTCAAAAAAAAAAATGGAGTAAGGCCATGTATTTGCAACCTACATTCCAGGCAGCAAGAGCTCTGAGCACCCTGTGCTCTAAAACGGTTCTCTATTCATCTGAGCCAGCTCAACAGAGATTGCACCATTAGCTGGTACCTGTGGCAGTAACCAGCCAGTATTTTGGCAAGATTAACCCAAAGCCTTAATAGAGGATTGTATTTATCCCCAATCTTGAGAAAACAGTTTTCTAAGATGTATGACTTGCTATCGAAGCTTCATACAAAATGGGACTGGGGTGTTGTTCAATCAAAATAATCTTCTATGTCAATATCTGGATTTAGGAGATCTTCACCATAGGCTGAAAGATCCATTTGATTTAAAATCAAGTTTTCAAAGGTTTCTTCCAAGTCCGTTTCACCGATGAGCACAGCTCCCATCATCCGGCCGTGCTGCATCACCACTTTGACGTACTCGTGTCCCTTGGTACACCTCAGCATCAGCTCGTGGTCTGAGCCCAGGCCCTGAGCGTTGTACTTCCCCAAAACCACCACCTAGCAGAAGGAAAAGGGAAAAGCTCTCATAACAACACTGCAGTGGCTTTTAGCATTTCTGCTGCTAACAGTTCTCGGCTTTAAAAATGATGCAAACAGAGAAATATTTGTTCCCAGGGTCCCTCCCCCCATCATTGGCTTGCAAACACACAATGGACTCAAAAATCTTCCCCTTGAAATATCATACACATTAGTACAAACTGAGAAAGTCTAGGCTAGGATTAATTGCTATATAAAGAAACCTGTTTCCTCAAAGCATCTGCTCACTGTCACCAAGTGAATATAAGCAAGCAGTATGTGTTACTCAGTGATTTACAACTATCAGACTGTACTGACCTTGTAGTTGAAAAATTTTGTAATGTGAGCAAATAGTTCAAAGCTGAAATCCATCTCAATAGATTCCCCTAAAGCATCTGCTGCCATGCACTTTGCTGCATACCATCCCATCTGCCGAGCTTGGGTCCACAGCCTCATCTGGAAGAGAGAATTGGCAAGAGTGAAGTCAGCAGACCATCACTGTGCCATGAGCGCTCGCTGCACCGAGTCCTCAGTGCACACTTGGTGTTGTTAATACTCAGAAGGGCTGCCCAGCTGGGTTTCCAGCCACCAACCCCCAGGATTACCCACAGTTAACCTTTCCCTCCTCGGTGTGAGCACTGGTGGGTGCCTCCTGTGGGTCACACGTGCCAGGACGTACCTGGTGCCACACGGGGCTGGGCTCCCACGCTGCTGTGCAGATATCTCCAGCTGCAAACACATCTGGCAGCGACGTGTGCATGTGCTTGTCTACCTTCAGTCCTCCGTCCTCACCCACAGCAAACTGCAGGGTTCACACATCAGCAGTGAGACAAGGCATCAAGGCACCCAGCTCCCTCCACCCTAAGCAATCAGCTGTTCCTTTATTTACTGTGAGACTATCCTGAGTGGCAAGAGCTCCATGGAAGGTACAAAGCATTACTGTTATTATTTCTAGAGCACAGCACAGGTTTTTAAAGGACTATTACTGATACCTAGGCAGGGAAGTCACAGGGCTTGCCAAATTCCAGATCACACTGTGTGTTACAGGGACACCCAGTCTTAAGAGATCACTTTGTAGTTTTGCCAAGGTAAGAAAATACCACTGCAAAATGCATGGCCTGGAAATATCTCACAGCTCAACATCAGATCTATGTTTTCAGCATTTCCTACTCTAACCAGAGCACAGCCTTTTACTTCCTAATCAGATGGCACCACTTAACCTGAAATACCACAACCTCCTGGTTTGTCTGGGATCATTTTTTAGTAGTAGCTTGTATGGTGCTATTTGTTGGATTTGTGATCAGTGTTAATTAATAACCCAGGGATGTTTGAGTTGTTGCTGAGCAGGCACTGAACACAGAAACAAAATGATCCAGAGGTTGGAAATGCACGTGGCAGTTATGAACTCCAGAATCACCATCCACATTTAGGTGCTGACCTCCCTCAATGAACATGAGCATTGTGACAGCTCAGTGTCCCAGATGGAAAGTACTGGAAATAATTGCTTCCTTTCCAGGAGCAAATGTCAAGATTAGCAAGGTAAGACTATGGTACAGAACTAACACAGAAATTATTCTATGTTTTTGCCACTTTAGCCAATTATACAGATGATTTTCTCTATTTGGTTAAGCTTAATACTGCATATGTACTGTATATAAACACCTGGGAACAACATAACAAACCAAGACACAAATCAAATACACTTGTGTCTTGTTGGATATCTGACTATCAACATACCCTGCCTTATTTTGAGATGGTGCACAGTATTTAAATCTGTAGCAATCCATGTTTCATGTCAGAACAGAAGCACAAACCAGCTGAAAAGGTTTCTTTAACCTTACTTGAAAAGCTCCAAAAGAAATCAGTATACTTACATTATTGCCATCAAGAAAGGGTTCAACATTTGGCACAACTCCAGTTGCACTGACAATGAAATTGCATCCATAAATTTTTCCATTAGTTAATTCCACATATACAGGCCAGAGCACTGAAAAAGGAGAAAATTTTGCCCCAAGAATGTAACCAACAGAAGTTATTTTATTAATTATATCTTATGGTAAGATATGAAAGAAAAAAAAACCACAAAACCTTTGAGGTAACTGAATAGGTAAAGAAAGGTTAAAATTAAAAAGGAAAAAGTTATCAGAGATTACCTATAACTCTTCTTACCATTGCTTAGAACTAGAGAAAAAAAACGATTTTGGATCTCAGCTCCAAATCCTACTAATACCTTTCTTCAGAAATTTCCTAAATTAAAGCTCTCATTTGTAGGGGGGTAAATACTGTGTCCTGTGGGGTGTTCTCTCAAGTATGCAATTGCCAGATATTTTTATGTAGAAATTTAAAGATGCACAGAAGTGCATCACAAGCAAAAAGAACGGCACAGATTCAACTTTTGCTGAAAGTAACTGATTACTAAAATAATATTTTAAAAATTATTTTAATTAGGTGGAAATTATAGGCATAATTATTAATTTTTAAAAATGGATATTTTCCTCTACTTGGGAGGTTTACTTCAGTTTTGATACAAAATGTTGGTGGTTTTTTTTCTCCTATTTTAACTTCATTATTAAAATATTAGAGGATTGTGTTAGGATGGAATATTCTGCATACAAGATTTTGGTTACTTTATGGAAAAAAGTGTCTGACCCAAAAGATTTTGTAATTTAATTGCAGCCCATAAATTTGATTACTGTAAACTCCTACACCTCAAATTATAGAGAAAAAAAATTTCTTTTTCAAAACTGTATTTGTTTTAAACCAGCAAACAAGATCAAACATGCTCCAGCACAGATTTATCTTCGAGATCTTATCAGCACTGGCACTCACCCTCATCTGCTTCCACATTTTTCTCTCCTTTAGGAAAAGTCAAGGAAGTCAGCTGCAGTTGGATAAATTCTTGCTGTAAGTATATTTTCTTTACTTCACACAGTATTTCAATGTGTACTTTATGAGAAAACTAAAGAAAAATGGACAGAATTATAAACATAATGATTAGTGATCACAAGATTGATAATAGCAAGGATATCTTCACCTCAATTGATATTACTAAAGTGGAAACCCCCCCACCATATATCCCAGCCCATTAACTGGATTCCTACAGTCCTCTTTTTGGCACAGATCTAACCACAGCCAATGGCAATTTACCTGCTTTTTCAGCAGCTATCTCATGTTCCTTGAAAGTTCATAACAATTAGATTTTTCTGGCACGCCAGAAAACACAGGTTTCCCTAAACTTACAGGAAGAGACCTAAAACCTTATCAGAAACCTTATCAGATCTTAAACCTTACCAGAACAGAAAGTAAACTCATCTTTTCTGTCTTTCAGGACTGCAAATCCTTTGCTTTTCTATCATGAATTAAATTTTGGTAACAATAATAAGTTTATGTTCTAAACACTGTAAAAAGAAAAAATACTCTGTACCATCAACCCACATTTCAACCATATTCTGAGCTCCAGCCAGAAGTTGGAAAGCTGCCTGTTTCTCTAAATTGTTTTGTGAATTTGGGCCTTGTTTTATTCTCCACAAATACAGTTCCACAGCCTTCAACAGCCAAACCACCACTGATTAATCTGCTAAATATCCTGAACATCCTTTAGCTGGTTTATGACTGATCACCCTTGACAGGTCATTTTTTAAATGCAAAACAGATGCAACCACCTAACAGCTCAGGAATTCATAAATGAAAACAAAATTAAATGTGAGGATTTTTTGCTTTATTGCAGAGATGGAACTCTTCCCAGTTCTCATGCCCACAAGACCCAAATAAATATGGCAGCAAGGTTATGCCCATACCTCCTTAGTCCCTTTAAGGTGTAAGCCCTCGTGCCAGTCAGGGCCCAAGGCACTGCCCAGCCTGTCAGATGCTCCTGCAGGTCTTCCCTTCTCCTCACTTCCTGGAGCAAAGACATGGAGTGTATCAGATTTAGTGTGCATCCTTCCTTGTCCTCAGAATTCAGAAGAAGGTGTCTCAATTAACAGAAAAATACCATCTAGGGTAATATCCTTATGCTTCCTGCCTGATGTCTAGAACCATGCTCTTCTTTTGTTATGACTTTGGTCCTATGTGTGTTTGTGTGATGTTCATGCACTCCTAGTTAATTGTTGTTTCTGAGACTGCACTTTCACTCCACCTGTAATAATCTGTGTGGTTTCATCTGCTCCTCCAATATCTTACTACATGACAGCTCCTCCCTATGTAATGGTGAGTTCACATCAAAACATTACAAAAAATAGAACAAGTTCTTCAGCAGAAGGAATACAGGCAATTAATATTAATTTGGCACAAAGGTAAGCACTTTTTACAGCTCACAAGAAACTGTATTACATTCTGTCTACATAAATTTGGGATAGGTTTTTATGTTGTGTTTTTACTCTCAGTTTTTGAAGAAGGAAATGTCTTTAATGATAACAGTAAGCCTTATTCCAAGCTGCTAAATTGAGATTTTAAGACTGTCTTTAACATGACATGCTGCTGCTGCAGTGTCAGGAAGCTAAAGCCCATACCTTCCACTGTGTACTTTGTTCTTTTACACTCGATGGGAGTCTCCTGGCCTTCAGCAGTGAGCTTTGGAAGGAGGAATTCAGCTGCTCCTGCATCAAAGAAAGTGTTCCCAATGGCTTTGTCTTTGATAGCCCAGATTACTTCACAGCCTTGAATTTCATACCTGTGGGCATTGAAACAAGGGATAAAGTGACAGATCCAACAAGGATCTGACTGTTAGCAGCACAAGCAGAAGTGTGTCAACTTTCCTTCCAGAAGCCAGAACCAGGGGATCCAAAACTGGATCCAAGACTTTCCAACCTGTCAAATCCACTTCTAAATATTTACATAAGGAAGCCATTAAAAAATATCTCTTCAAGTTGACAAGTCATACTTTCTCACCAACACAACCCTGATTGAACTGGGATAGGGGGCAGATCCAATTTATAATACTAATAATTAGTATTTCCTGCTCCCTGTAATGAAAAAGAAGTGCATTTCTGCCAGACTCCCACTGTTAAAAACAAGCATTTGGATCTTGCTTGCACTATATGGAACATGAACTGTATATTCTTGATATCTATGTGTCAAAGCTTCTTCTGGAGCTTTCCTAGTTTTATGTATCAGTAGAAACCATTCAGTTGCAAAAAAAAAACTCCTGTAATCAGTTTTGCTTTTAAACGCTCTAAGAGATAAAATTGTATAAGCCAACCCTCTCCCAAACTCATGTACACTAGATTTAGCATTGCATTGGTAAAGATTTTATTTATGTATTTTTTTGTTCACTTACACTAATTCAAGGGCAATCCCACCATTTCCTACCACCACTATTCTCTCAGCTTGAGCCAAATTCTTCTGGAAAGCCTGCATTAAGAAAGGAAAAATGTCAATTAGAGCATGTTCCCTCACACTGATCAACTATATCCTTTCCAGTATTTTCTTGCTCTTAGTCTTGATTTTCTCAACTACTGATACACATCTGGCTAGGCTGAGACCTGTAACAGAAGCTGTTGTTGTAACAAACAACAATTTCAGTGTCACTTCAGATTCTTTGAAAATGTAACTCCTTTATTTTCCTCAAGGTCCAGTTTCATTTGGTCAATGGCAGTTCCAGGTTATGGAGCACTCCTAGTTCTGAAGACCTGTAGCAGTGAAACTTCACCTTTGCCTTCCAAGCTTCATTTTTAGTCTATTAAGTAATTTCTCAAGTGAAAACTTTTCCACATCTTTGACTATTTCTACCTCTTCTCTGTACAAAGAGGAAAAGCTACAGTAGAACTACAAGAGAATAAAAAGTCATTCCTTCAGTAGCTTTCCACTGCACAAAGCAGCCCTTTGTACCTGGTACCACATACACCTTCCCAGGGAAATTTCTTTATATTTTCCAATTGGATTCTGCCTGGACAGTGAAAAAATATCATTTATTCCATATTATCATGTTAGAAATAATGCATATGAGCCATCTATAAACTTAACAAATATAGTGGCTAATTAATTTAGTGGCATTATAAGGCTGTTTTTTTGCTTTTGAAAATGTTCCTATTTAAGAATATATAACAACAAACATTATTTTCTGTTTCTCCATTTCCCTCCACAATAATTCTGGTATTTTGCACCAGCTGCAGGAATATATTACACATTTTTAAGTCCCAAACACATTTACCTGTGCACTGTCAGTGTCCCGGATTCCTAATACATATGGGTTCCCTTCCACAATTAATTTTGGTTTGGCTCCAGCACACAGGCAAAGTTTTTCATATATGTATTCTTTCCCATCTTCAGTGTAAATTTTCTGTCAACAATGAAGAGAAAAGAAAAATTAATCCACCTAAGAGAATTCATCTAAATCAAGACATCTAAGAGACATCTTTCCTCAATGTCACAGTAATTAGCAGATGAGATAAGCTGCAAGGGCTTCTTAAGGAACAAGGCTCCATACTCTTCATGACTGTGTGTCATTTATTCCCACCACACTCACCACAAATATGTGACCAATAAAATGGGGAGTGCACACAGTGCACTCAAAGCAACATCAGCCACTTGGTGGCACTTGGTACTCACTGGCTGAGCCAAAAGAGTTCAGTGTTTTCTATGTGACAAATGTCCCTCAGGCCCAGGGACAGAACTGTGCACTGCTGGACATCAGCAATTGAGAATCTCAGTCAAACATTTCAACAGCACTGGCTGTGCTCTGAGTTCAGCAGGCACAGGATAGGACACAGCTTAGAAATCTGCAAATCTGTTCTTTGCTGAAGAAAAAGTGGAGGCACTCAGCAAGCTACATCATTCTGAGAAAGAAGATCTGAAATTTTAACATTGTGTGACATTATTTGTTGTTCTACAAACTAGAAGCTGCATAGTTTAGAGTGGTTTTGGGTAAAAGATCCTCTAAATCCACACAGATTAATTATTTGTGTCCACCAAGACCTGTATTAAAACACTATCCTAGTAATGATGTAAGAAAAGCACTGGATTCAGAATGTTAGCAGAATCTACCTGGAATTACATCTCCAAACCTTAAAAGTGAGCAAAACCAGTGTGGGATGTGAATGTGAGTTCCTCATACATGCTGAAGTGAAAATAACATGCTGACACAGAGCTAACAAGGGTGTGTACATGCTGTCCACTGCTCATATTTGCAACGTATTTCCTGCTAAACAGAAGGAAGAAAAGGTGGAAATGTTGGTTCTTTCCAGATTTGTTTTGTCCTCTATATGTATTTCTACTTGAAAACCAGTGTTAAGCAGTAAGTGAAATTAGAATTAGGAAATATTTTCTTGTAATTCTGGTAACTTTTCCATTCAATAACCAAAATGTTCTTGATCAAAATTTCTCACCCAAAACATACAGCTACCTCTTAAATTATTTTTATATACATAATTTGAAAAAAAAAAACCAAACAAAAAAGAAAAGCTGAGCTTACATGTTCATCACTGTTCAACTGTTTCACTCCAGACTGTATAACTCTGATATTGGGATATCGTTTTTCTAACAGGGAACTTGGTTGCTCTTCGACATCAAATTCCTCAAGTGTTTTGGAGACCTGTAGGAGAAAGAGAAGTATTCAAAAATATGGATCATTTATCCATCTCTTCTTCTAAAGCTTTTGACACAAGGTGCTGTGTTCATTTATAGTAAAATGTCACAACATAAAGCCCATATTGTCTGAAAATGTGTTATCATGTAAGTGCTGAAAGTTTCTTTTTCAATACAGAATCTTTTCATGCCTGTTCCTGGTTGAAGAGTCACAGTACTACATGTTAATACTAAATATAGAGATTAAGCAAAAAATGGAGAAGCCTGGCAGTTGCTCTAACTGCTACAATGTTTTATTCCATAAAGAAATCTATTATCAGAGCTGTTAACACTGTTTTTTTCACTTATGTTATGTATGTATGTATTTTTCATTTATGTTATGTTAAAATCCTGGTTTTTCTCTTTTTTGTAACTTTGATAAAATAACTCGTCCAGAGCCACCATCTGATATTTCAGAGACCTCAGGGGAAATGGACAACATCAAACAGAAAGCAAACACACACAAAATACAAACCCCAAAGGGGCAAGCCAGAACTTCAAAAACATTCAAGTAAGTGATGACAATTTTGTGTTTTTTTCCAAAAGAGAGTGGCTGCATGGAAACCTCCAGGCCTGTTACTTTATTGAATATTCAGAGTTTGGAACACAGCTAGGAACAAGAAGCCACACCATGCTTGCAATTCAGAAAGTAAAATGCTCATGTCCAAAACTTAGATGCTGCTGCCTTCCAATAGTGCTTAGCTATTCCCTTATTCTTCAGCTCTGTAAATTTCCACTGATGTGAATTACAGACTTGACATCTCTGCACTGTGCAGGTGTCTTTGCTAGACACTCAGCACTTACAGAAAGCATTCTGTAGTTGGGTCTTACTCCATCAATCTCAGAGATCTCCCAGACTCAGCTTCATCACCCTACTAGCCACAAATTCATGCATGCATTTGATTTTCTTTTTCAAACCAGCAGGAAAGATGTCACTGAATCAGCAGCTGCTGGAGTAGACAAAGCTCAAAGCAATTCCCCAGAAGCCTATCCCTTCTTTTGCTGTTTCTGCTCCAAATTCAAACATGAGCAAGACTATGACACCATTCCAGTGCTTCAAAGTGGTCACTCACTAATAAAGCAGTGAAATAAAGCTTCAGTAGCTCTGAACACACTTCAGTCGTGTAAGTACATGGTTGAACCTTTGCCTTGGTGTGAATATATTCACAATTACTGATCATTGTCAAATAGCCTGTCAATCTTACTAACACCACTGCAATCACAACAATATGAAAACAACCTCAAAGTCATGAGCATCTTCACCACTGGGTTCTAAATTATCTGCACAAATAAACTTTGAACATGTCTTAATGTAAGAAAAATGAAGTCTCTCTTACCTGCTTGAAATTAGTTACAGCTTTTATAACTGGGGAAGCTGTCACTAAAAAAATGTCTTCTGATGGGAATTCTGCAGCCAGCTTGTAAAGAAACAGAAACCATGGTGAGAGACTTGAACACAATAAAACTATGGTGAAAAGCAGTATTGGTTTTGTAGAACCTTATTGAGAAAACACTACTTGAGGGTAACAGAAGGATAAGGACTGAGGAGAATTTGGAGACACAACGTTTATTTCAATCACACATAAATATACCTTCAAGAACTGCAGCCACAGTGTAAAGGACTATTGTCACAATATTCCAAAGGCCATCTGATGGGTCAGACTGTGATCCTGGGATTTCTGACACGCCCAGTTGCTGGATAAATTTATTTATTTTTACTGCACAGCAGTGACTAATTCCTTACAGGTTTCATTTTCACAGAGGAAATGCTGATTTCTCCTGGATATTTTACACCCTATTTAGTAAACTGATCATCTTCAGGGTGCTATTAAGCAATGCAAGACTTATAAAAGCCCAAGCCAAAGGGAAGAACTCCCGTTTTAAATGTGCTCTGCTCAGCAAGGTGACAGAGACCAAGACAAGCGGTGCTGCTG